TATAAATTGAGGATCAGACCTGTTTTTTTGCTCAGTAAACCCAGAGTATCCACTTTTCTGGCTTAAGGCTTGACACCTTAATGTAGCGAGCCAGAAAGCCAGTAAATTGTGGTTATGATGTCACAACACCTGGAGGTTTGGTTGCCTCTGATTGGTCTAACTCTACAGGCAGTATACAACTCAGTGTTATTGTGTTAAATTTCCCTCTTAAAACTTAAAGCTCCGTTTTTAATAATATAGGCTATAATTTTAAAAAATTACAGATCTTGCGATTTCGATATAAAAATGATTAATCTTTCAGCCCTAATTAGGGACGTCCCTGAACAAAACTGTGTCTTGTAGAAAAGTTCACCTTCTCATTGTATGGTTCATCTCTCAGCACCTCTGGAGCCATCCAGAACGGAGAACCCACAACTGCCAGCTTTTCCCCATCAGCACTGTACACAAATACACAAAGAAACACGTCTACATGAGGATAAGATACTACACATTCTGAACACATTCACACAGCCTTCAGGAAGAGCCCGTCTGATCTGGCAGTGCCACGCCCCCAGCCTGTCTGAAGGTGAGGAGGGAGGTCTTTGATCAGTTTAATATGAGGAGATGAGGGCTGAGAGTGTGAGAGAATTACAAGGGACTTCCTTCAGCTGCTTTGGTATTATTAGCTCTCTTAAGAGTTCACTTCTGAACGCTATGTTCCAGCCAAATCAGATGACCCCCTGCACACAGTCTTACGTCCTCTTTAACTGGCTGTGCTCGCTCGCTTTCCCCTTTACTCCAGCATGGGCAAAAGACTGCAGGTTTCCACTGCGTCATCTAACACAGCAAAGTTCATTGCGCTGTGTGCTGTGTCCTGAACTGCTGGCACTAATCGGGCCTCATCAGTGCCGTTTTGGCCGACTGACGGTAATAAATCGACGGTGACGGTCGGGTGTGAGAGAGAGCTGAGAATCAGCAGATAAGGAGAGAAATGAAAGCGTGCAGGGAGCAAACAGCACTTTCAAGACGGCACACAGAAAATTTTCAATGCTTGTGCTAGTCTCACAGGGCTAGATGTGGTCTCAAATGTCTGGGGACAACCATGAGAAACTTTGGGCTGAATGTGGGTGGAAACTTAGACCTATTTCTAAACCAATCCAATACCTGGTGAACTCAAAATAGAGGGCGATGGTGCATGTCAACACTGTCGCTCTGTTGTAAGCCCCTGTGATTGTGACGCAAGTTATCATGGCTGAAAAATCCCCTCAAAACTTCCATTAAGTATGTAGATGTCTGTTGCACATGCAGCGAACACATTACATGCGTTAAAATGAAACATGCAACAGAAAAATTGTTCCGTTAAACTGGACTATACATTAGTTTTCGTAGATATAACTGGGTATATAATAAAACGATACAGCCAGAGTAAACGTGATGTGGAAAAAATGTGTCTATGTTTGAGAAAAGACGAGCTGTGCAGTCATAGGCGCTGAAAACATGTCATTTTGAAGAAACGAACGTGAGCTAACGATAGAATTTCACTAGCTAGCCTGCTTCCCTTGTGTTATTGATTGTACCCATTAAAAAAAACGCACACGGAAGGGATTTAGAGGCAGGTCTGAGAGTGGGCAAATGCTTCAATATTGCTGCAATCCAAAAAATTCACAGGAAGTTCCCAGCCATGTAGTCTTGGCACAAGATCACATCTGATTCTTGGTGACTAGGTCCATGCTAGTGGCAAAGTTTTATCACTAGGGAGGCACATTTTTACTATATTTGCTACCTGAATGTCTGAATTCAATCAAAACAGGCACACGAAAAACACTGAATATGCTTCGATAACAAAAGAATTGGAAACATTTCTTTGACCTCATACCTCATCAGTTAAGAACATGTGCCAAACTCGTTTTATACCCTTTTGAGTAGCCTCTTTTACCCGCTCGGTGCCAACCTCACAGTGGTTTACTTTCACTTTCACTCACTCAATTTAGCTTAAACACGGACATTTAAAGATTGCAAGACATTCAAGCTAATCTTTTACTCTGAATGTTGAAGTTTTACAGTCTTCTTCCCACTCCTGCTATAAAAAGAGTTCCTTTTCACACAGGTGTGTTAAATATGTGCATGTTGGCTGTCCGCTGTAGTCTCTGTGGTGTGTTTGAGAGCGAATTTTCACAGGACATTAGAGGCAATGCTGACAGAAATTGATTATCAGTCGATCTCAGCTGGCGTGAGTTCTTCCACATTGGCTTATTGTGTTTGGGCAGTAAGAGCCAGTAATCTGCACACGCCGGGCACTTCCGAAAAACTATTCATTTGATTTGCATGTAATGCAGGATTAACAGCACTGATGCAAACTGTGTTTCTTTCTGTTTAACAGAAACATGTTTATGTGGCCGGGAGTCAATGAAATGTGGATAAAACTTATCATTATGTGGATATGAGAAGTATTTAATAACCAGTGTAAATAGGCTCACTCACTCATGACTGGGGATCTTCTCTGCAAGGCCAAAGTCTCCAACAACTGCAGTGTAGCCGTTTTCATCCGATTTGATTAGGCAGTTCTGCGATCACACAAACACAGAAATACACTTATGATGCGTTTATATCTGTATGTCAGTTCCCATAGCAGAAAATGATATTGTTGGGCAGAGATTTTAGATATCTTAATCTTTTATATTAGTTAAAGGGCCCACATCATGAAAAAAGAAAAAAAAAATGCTATTAAAAGTGAGTTTCAAAATATATTCACTTCCCAGCTCAGACAGTCCATGAATGAAAATTAAGCCAATGATTTATATACAGTTGCATAAGCTTGAATATCCCAGTCAAATCGCAAGTTTTGTAGATTTTCTAAATGTAAATAAGTTAACACATCCTCTACAAGAGAACGTAAATATAACTACTTTCTCTTATTGCCTATTTAGCCTACCTATTCACATTGAAGTTATAAGCAGTGTTTCATGTTTTTTGAATGAGACACAATACAGGGCAGCCAATCAGAACAGAGCTCATTTACATACACAAGGGTTAAAGGCTTGTTCAATTCTAACGATAAAGAGGTTGATATTGATCATGTGTTATAAGTTATGATTTAATTAACTGTCTGTGGTAAATAAACCCAAAAGCATTTAATAACTGGGTGGCTCAGCATCTAGATTACAATAAGGGCCAATTAAGTGAGCTAGACAGAGATGTGATACTGGGGGAAGCCAATGTCAAGGGTGATTCCCAAAGTGTATAATTACAGGGAAAGAAAGTGCAACAGCTGACGGTCTACACAGGAAATGCCAGTGCATTCCAGCCACAGCTGATGGCTGTGCACCTGTCCTGCTGCTGATTGGACCGTTCCTCCTATTTAGAGTACACAGAAATGCTGCGCTGCTGCAGACGATCATCTGTCTCTGATATGACCAGGAAAAAGTTTCCTGAACTGATGCTTTCTAAGACAGAGAAAACTGGCATCCTTGTTTTGAATCACGAGACCTGTCAAAAGCAGCGATGTGAATAGCAGAAAAGCACCTCCTAGTCTGCGGTTCCATTTTGGGAAGCATGCAGCGGATCAGCATGTTAAATGAGAGACAAAGCAAGCCAAACGTGACAGAAGAACAGTTTTACTATGAACACGTTTGAAAAATGCAGAAATTCTAATGAACTGAAAGCAGTCTAGAAATGCAGTGAATGAAAGCAAAGCACAGTCTAAACTGGGCGAGTAATGATTCACTCATCTCAGCTCATTCGATTCACGATACTGAGTTTATGATAGTTTACTTCTATTTAGTTATTCTAACAATATTATGAAGTGTGGACGAGGGAAAACGTTTGAACATGGTTTCTGCATCACAATGTATTGTGTCACCTCTAACATACATTACTAGCCCCTTAAAACTGCAGGCTTATTAGTTCTTAATCTTAAGAACTGAAAACTGTTAATATTTATTGAGTAACCGCTATGAATTATTCAGTGACCACTATTAAATTATAGCTAAAGCAGTGGTTTCCACTCAGTGGGCCGTATTCATATTGTAAGGGGGCCACAATTTTTATTTATTTATTATATTTTTTGTACATAAACATACATACATACAAGAGACATAACATTTAGACATTTAACCAAACCAATCATTTTAATTATGACAAATATTAGTTGTAATAGTTATATGCAAATATAATACATCAAAAATATGGTCGAGCATAGTCTTGGTCTGGGAAAACGCATGACAGATGTGCACAGTTAGGGCCTGGCTATATATATATATATATATATATGTGTGTGTGTGTGTGTGTGTATAACATATATACATATATATGATATATATATATATATATATATATATATATATATACACACACACATACACACACACACCTCGTATCTCCAAAAAACCTACTTAACCTTTAATGTAAGTCAAAGGAACCAAAATTTGTTCCAAGTCCTTTTTGCATTCTTCATGAAATTTACAAACAATGTAAAGCACAACAGCAGTTTTCAAACTATGTCAAATACTGAAAAATGACAAAAACGGAGATCCGAGGTTTATATATATGTATGTGTATATATATGTATGTGTATATATATATATGTATGTGTATATATATATATATATATATATATATATACACAAATATATATACATATATATACATATATATAAATCACACACAAACAGTCAAGTTCAAAGTAAGTAATTAAGTAATGAGGCATTAAAGTGTGGGCCCACTCACAGGCCCTAACACCTTGTCCAAACAGCAAGCAAAGCGAATGAGTACAATGACACCACCAGAGAGCTCCCATTATAGTCGATTAAGATGCTCAGATATGGGAACTTTGAGCTGATTTCAGATATAGAAATTCAGGACTAGATCCACTAAATATCTGACGATGCTGATATGATTCCAGCATCACTGTACATGAACCAAAGTGACACGTCACTTTTAAAGGACTGTTTCCAATTTTGACGTGTCATTCCGTGCCCATCTCAACCAAAGTGGATGAGGAGAAACTAATACACGAGACGAAGAAACGGAGATCCTCTAAATTTTACAATAAAAAAAAAAACAACAGTTTAACATTAAAAGATCATGTTATTTTTGGCTGCATTATGATGTCAAGGGTACTCAACTATTCCGTTAACTTTCTGAGGTGCCAGTATCTGAATACTGAAATCTCTATTCAGGTAAATGTTATGTTTCATCAGGAGAAGAAATATAGATAAAAAAATAAATGAAGGAAACACTGATTTTATGCTTTAATGGAACTGTAAAATGTGAAAGTTTTGCGAATTCGTACGCTTTGTGCTACTTTGCTACTCCCAAACACGAGTGCTTTGACATGGGCGTGTTGCCAAGGACGTGACAGGGAAGGCAGCGTCAGATCATCCTCTGTTGCTAAACAGGCTAAAATATTTTCCTCTGTCTCCGTCAGCATGCAGTGTTACCTGCTAGGTGTGGCTTTAGCTTATTAGCTCATCTGAGGCAGTCTCTGTTATGTTACTCATGCAACATAAAACGTAAGACTTCGTCCAACCATTTCTAAATATAATAAAACATGTTTTTTAATGTATTACTCTTTGTGATGCTAAGCTTTTGTGCAACACCAGTACTTTTCACCTGAATGGCTAAGCCAAAGCTTTATATTGAATGTGTTTTTTTCCCCTGCAGGTAACTGGATATCCGTTCATGAACTCTTTCAGATACTTGAAAATGATTATTAGTCATGGTACACATCCCTAAACGTTAAGTCATTAATGCTAGCCTGCTCTCCACAAACTTTCACTCATTATTAGCAATGTTACCACTGTTCTATCAGGACTCTTCACAATTCATCAGAATCATATCACTGGAATATACCTTGGAGGTGAGGTCTCGGTGAAAGATGCCCTTTGAGTGCAGGTAGGCCAAGCCCATCGCGATGTCTGAGGCCAGTTTAACCCGTGTTGCCCAGTTTAGGTACTTGTTGCTGTCCAGCAGCTGCTCCAAGTTACCACCGTTAATGTACTGCAAGAAAATACACAAATGCCAAAGTGGACATGAGTGACAGTGCTTTTCTGGAATCATCCTGAGTAGAACACACAGTGAGTGAATACTCCCAATTAAAGGCATAGAGAAAACATTCTGATTCATTTGTGGCCTTAAACTTGAACTTGTGACATTTAAATGGGTGACGGCAATCAAATATTTACTAACTTAATGATCAATCTTCACACTGGGAAGCACCAATTAAAATTGATTTTCTGTGGAACTACAATGGGCCTAAACTGTCATGGCTGACAATGGAACTGGTTAAGCAGCATAAGTTAACATGAAAAGAAACACTTAGGCTACGTTTACACAGCAGGTAAAAGTGGCCCAAATCTGATTTTCTCACCAAATCCGATTTTTTTGTTTGGCTGTTCACATTATCTTTTAAATGTGACCTGTTTGCGACATCAGTCTGAACAGATCAGCTCCTAAACTGACCCGCATGCGCAAAAGAACAGTGCTTCACCTTGCGGCTCGTCCAGAGGTAAACAACCATGACGGCCAGCGAACGCCAGTCACTCCCGCAGCTTCCAGTTTAGTCTTTACCAGCATCACAGGACCGAGTATAAAGCTCCAGTGGTTGACAGCTGGACTCGGCGTGGCCACTTCTTTGGTTCGTGTCCTCGGATTCTTTAAACTGTTCTCTGACGCTGCAGCCTCGGTCTCCTCCAGCCGCGCTCGGCCGTTCCGTTTGAACACTGAGCGGTTTGATGAGTCTCTTCTAATTTTCGGTACAGAAACATCAGACTAAATGTTTATGAGTCTCAGTAGCGCATAATTATGACGAATGTCGAGTTGGATTGACGTAAAAGTCATGAATTCCGATCTGGCTGTTCAGACTGAGGCGCATTGCCGCAGATCGGATACGTATCGGATTTCAGTACCACATATGAAAGCGTCTCAAATCGGAATTGAAAATGTCAGATTCAATGCGTTTTTGCTGTTCACACTGCCACACAGACACACATCTGTGTCACATTTGAGGAAAAAGATCGGATTTGGGCCACTTATACCTGCTGTGTAAACGTAGCCTTAGTATCCTCTAAGTGGTTTAAAAAATTGCCTTCTGTTTTATATCTTCTCAATATAGCTGCTAAATCATCCACAGTGAGCTGATCTTGCCTGAGCAGACGCTACAACTACCTGGCTGCTTCATGCAATTCACTACAGCAATCGGTACATATATAACCAGCACCAACAGTGCATGTTAGCATAAGAGGGATATAACTGATTCTCTTTTCACTCCAATACTGAGGATTTCTATGGTGAAAATTGGTAAACACACACATTAATAAAACATTTAAAAATGAACACCCCTGTCCAGTCTAAGCCGGTTTTCATCTACTGAATATTGATAAAAATGTTAATAATGAGACAGATGGAAAACTACATACATACAAACATTCATACATAGATTTGATACAATCATTTATCGCAAATGTGTATTTTGTATATATAAATCAATAAAATCGATGCTTCATTACATGTGTGTAGTGTGTGTAGGCTCTAGGATAACTGGCTTTGGAAAAACACAGATTGTTATCTTGCAGTTACAGAGTAGTGAATCAGCCAGAGGGGAAAAGACTTGACAGTGTCCCAGTTTTATGCTGCCTGAAATGACCTCCACATCATGCAGGAGCACTGAAAAATCATGAGGAACTATGAGTGACTAAACCGAGGATGACACAGTGTGTGCATTTTAGACCAAAGGTCTGCACGATATTTACGAGTCGTTTTCAGACACATCCAGTAAACTGACTGCTAATGTTCATAAGTTTTATCTGATACCACAAAAAATAAACTTCTCCACTACTGTGACCTGAGGGTGCTTTTACTTAGCGCTAAAAACTGTCGATTATGATTACCCAGCTATCCAGGCTAACTTTATTTTTCTTAACTAATGCTAAACCTTCAGTCTCAAAACTCTCAAGGAAACTTAAAAGGGGCCACGTTATCTTGTCATGGTATTTTAGGGTCGATTATTTGTTTTTAACAGAAATCCATTTGATAATTTTCTATCAGTGTTTTTGACTGGACTGCACAGACATCTATATGGTCATGTGCAGCAGGCCAGGTCAAAGGACATGTTTTGCTAGAGAGAAAATGAGTTAACACGTCCTCTACAGGGAACACACTTAAATAAGACACAGGCCAAATTTTAGTGCACAATTTCTATTTACTTGCTGAGTTTAACATATTGTAATAAACTAAAAGATTCAATACATAAATGAGGAAGTCTTCATTTATTTTCACTTAGAAAATAAACCATACGTCATTTGTCTGGTCTTCCAAAGAAAAGGGAGGACATTGCAAAATTGTATGGGGGAGGGGGGGAGGGGGGTCATTAGCTAACACTACCAAGGGACAACCTGATTATTTTATAGTCTAATTACATTCATTGTTAAGTAATTGACAATGTCTACTGGTTTTATAATAAAGTCTTGTTTAAAACAGTAAATACTTTGAATAACTTTCAAAATTTGAACCAAAAAAAAGTGACTAAAGGACGATGCTGATTAATAGTAAATAAACAAATATAAACGTAACAAACACCTGAGTATTTGGATTATTCAGGCCAGCCCTCATTATAGATTCTAACATTTAAAAAAACAAACCAACAAAAAACAAAACACGACTCTGGGAATCTGCTCTGAAAATTCAGCTAAAAGACCTAACTAAAAGAGCCTATTAGCGACAGCTGACCTCTCATCAAAGACGAGCCTTACTTCGAGGTTTGGTGTCTTGACCAGGTTCTGACTGTTAATAGAACTGCTTCCTGTCACCTTTATCTGTTCCACTTGTGTATCTTTTATGCTTTAATCTGTGTGAATGGGATTACTCAACACGGCTAAAGTTTACGCTCTTCTGTACTAAAGCATCGCTTTAAACAGCGCTTACACCAGGGTGAGACTGAGGTGACAGCTGACGTTATCTTCTGTAACGAGAGGAAATGAGCACATCATTTTGACTCATGCTTTTTAGTCATCATCCTTTTCGAAGCAGGAGCCTAAACGGTTTCACTGGGTGGCCAAATGCAATCAACACTTCTCCTATATCCAGCTAAGACAGCCCGACTGAGATCAGTTATTCAACCCTTGAACTTTGCTTATCTTCTCTTAGCCGTGTTACATAAACAGTGGATGTTGCATTACATTACGACCATCAGATAAAGCAGGTTGACGCTACATCAGCAGGAGTCTCAATCAGCAGGGGGTAAACATGCCTACATGTTAAACTGGCAAAAGAAGTCGAGTGATGCGATGGCTATTTTTAAGCGAAGGAATGCAGGTGCTGGTGTATATGTTGTCTCTCACGGCAGACAGACAGCCAGTCAATCCTGGGCTAAATATACGGTCATCACTGTCTCCTCTGGTCTGCCTTGTTTACTTCAATCGGAAGACAGGTGGCCTGAACACAGCCAAGCTATAAACCATTTAGAGACCCTAAAGTTCACTCCTACAAGAGATGATGCTTTAGTAAAGAAAACGGCTCTATATAGAACCATGAACACTCAAAGAACCCTTTTCTCCTGCTTTAAGGAGGTATTCTGGCTCAAAACTAGCTTCTATGATGTTATTTAATGTTATTTGTCATGTTATGCCCAGAAATGTGTCCCTTGGTCTCACTGATTCGACAGAATTCACAATTTTACATCATTTTAAAAATCCCTGTGGTGTCAACCAATCCTGACAGTGAACCTACCCACAAAATATTGGCTGACAGATATAACTAAGCTAGCATTGGTGTAAATATTTCCTCGGTTCTTTCTTTTACAAAGACACAGTTCAAAAATGAGAAAGCCTGTGGCGTGTAGTATTTATGTGCATAGGTATATATAGGTATCTACATAGCCAGGCAGCTACCTCGCTAACTTTAGCTTTGAGCTTGTTGTTCTCTTCATCCTGTGGCCAAAAATCCACCCCAAAGCAGTTGTAGTTTTTAAAAAAGGTCCTTCTACCTTCAAGTTACATCATCAAAATGTTTTTTTTCTAGTCACTATCCTGAAGAATCTCACTCTGGAGCCAAACAGACACATTCACAACAGATTAGCAATGGTCACATTTTTGGCCAGAGAGTCCCTGTAACTAGAGACTACCTTAAGCAAAATGAATAAGACCGAATGGATTCTG